ACGCATGGGGCCTGCAGCCTCCAGGGGTGAGGCGGCTCAGGATTGAGCACTGAGGCAGCTCGGCGATGGCGCCCCAGCAGGGCCGCCGCCGATCCGATCCGGGGCCAGCAGGAGGATGATGAGGCGATCCGATGTCGACTCGATTCGGGACGATTCGCTGGCCATCCGATCCGTCCCGATGCGATCCGATTCCGCGGTTCGATCCGGCTCGGGCCTGCCGGGCCCCACGATTGCACGGCGTGCCCTCCCCTGGAGCTCTCCGCCGCTGTCGCGGCAACCGGGGGGGAGGAGGGGGGAGGAGAAGGGGAGGGGAGCGAGCAGAGGCGGTACACGCAGCGCTGCTCGTTGGTTCCATCACGGGGCCGGCGTGCGGGCGCCCGTCTCTCGCCTCTAGCGTCTAGGGAGCACAGCCCTCGCTGCAGCGGTGCCCGCGAAGCCGCGCGAGCATCGGGCCCGCCAACGGAGGCCAGCGGACGGAGATGTGGGGAAGGAGAGCGGGGGCGATGCAGAGGGGGGGGGCAGGACGGACAGGCTGATCGGAGGAGCCGATCAGGGAGGAGGGGAGGAGCAGAAGGACGGAGAGGCAAGGTGACGCGATGAGGGGGTCGGATGATGGATGAGGGATCAGGGCGGAGGAGGGAGGTTGGGGGGAGGACTGCGGACGAGGGAGGGATGAAGCAGGAGGAGGTGGGGCGAGGACGGAGGAGGAGGAAGAAGGCAGAAGGTGGCCAGAGGAGTACGAGGGGAGGAGCAGGCACTGCCAGATTTAGATTTCGGGCCGCGGCATCCCTGCCCAGAGCTCGTGTCGAGGATACGCGAGTCGAATCTCGATCCCGTCGTCCTCACCCTCCTGTTCCAAGCGCCTCCTCTTCCGAACGCCTTCTGACGCCGCCTCCTCGTCTTGGGCGGTGAGGAGAGAGATGGAGCGGACAGGAGGAGGACCAGGCGGCGGGGAGCCACAAGGATAATGGGGGGTTTAGGAGGATAGCACCAGCAGGGGAGGAGGCGGCGGCGAAGGAGGAGGCGGCGGAGGCGGGATAAGTGGAGGGAGGGCGGAGGAGGGCTGATCCAGATGAGATGCGAGGAGGAGGTAGAAGAGGAGTGAGAAAGGAGGATGGGGGAGCATGAGGCGGGGAGGGGGTAGGTAGATGATATGAGCGGGAGTAGCACTGATAATACATGATGAAGGTGATTTCTTACTTACCAGCTGGGGTCCGAGAATCTTGGGTCGGTGGATCGCGCCGCATCGCCGATGGTTCGGCTATGCGGCTCGATGGGGAGCCTGATGGTCTCCACGCCGACGCCGCCTATGCGTCGGCGATGCGGCGCGATCATCCGACCCCACCTGCTCGGACTCCATTTGCGAGGTCCAAAGAGGAGGAGAAGGAGGAGGAGGAGGAGGAGGGAAACAGCAGGACCAGGAGCAGGAGCAGGAGCAGGAGGAGGAAGACACGATGAAGGTGATGCAGGGAAGTGGGAGGAGGCAACACGATTGCATTTGCCAGTCGCCTCGATTTCGTGGAGCCCTGAGTATAGCAATCAGCCTCAAACTGCATCCGGTCATGAGTTGTCCGTGATATAGAGTTGCGCGTCAGCTGTCAGTCGCAATCATTACACGAGCTAAGGGCGGAATGCAGTAGTGTATACCTTTGTGTACATCGACACATGCATATGAGTCCATCTGCATGTATATGTAAACACTCATATACAAATGTGCACAGCCATCTCCAAACATATCTCTGTATATACATACATTCGTGTATGCATGCGTACATACCTACATACATACATGCATGCACACATACATATGTATACGTACATGCATACATGCATGCATACATACCTACATACAAACATATACACGTACCCACACACCTAGACACACACTTACATATACGTATGTACTTGTATGCGCATACATACATACGTGCATGCATTCAATCATGCATATATGCGTGCATACATACATACATACACACATGCGTACATACATACATGCATGCATACATACATACATACATACATACATTCGTGCTTGTCTCCATGCATACATACATACATGCATACGTACATACACTAAACACACGTATATGTACATACACATATACACACATGCATACATACGTGAATACATACACACATACTTGCATACAAACATACATACACACGTGCGTATGTACGTGCATGTATTCATGCATACACATTTACAGATGCATACATGCATCCCTCTCTATATTATCATGTATATATATGTATACATGTAAATATCCATACACCGATATACGTGTTTATGAATTTACACCAGTATGTATGTGTGTACGTGCATATGTGTTCAAATGACCTGCATGAGTTGTGGGCCCGAATTCTCAGGGATGCTTCTTCTGGTCTCTTCGGAGCGCTCTCGGGGGCCTCGTGGGAGCAGTTTTGGGGCCTCTTTGGAGCCTCTTTGAGGCCTCTTTGGGGCCTCTTGGGGCCTCTTGGGGGCCTCTTGGGGTCTAGGGGCCGAGGGCTGGAAATGTCCGTTCGGTTTCCCCATCTGGGCCCACTCTTGAGGCCATCATTGGGCCCTCTTGGGCCGTCTTGGGCGCCTCTTGGGACGTCTTGGGGCCCTCTTGGAGGCCTCTGGGGCCGTCTTGGGGCGAACTAGGGGCCTCGTGGACCGTCTCGGCCTCCTCATTTCCCCTCTTCCGCCTTCCCCTGGTCCTCCTGCTCCTGCCGCTCTTTCCAGATCAGTTCCTGTTGTTGCTGCTGTTCGTCCTCGTCTTCATCGTCCTCCTGCCTCATCCTCCTTTACCTCCTGCTCGTCCTCGTGCTCAACCGCCACCTCCTCATCCTATGTACGCAGACCCTTTCTCCTATTGCGTATGACACGATGGGGTCCTGTTTGGGGTCCCATTTCGGTTATGACGCGCGTCCGCGGATAGAGAAACATGCAGCGCAATGTGACGGGATGGGTGGGAGTGGTAGGACGTCAGGTATGCAGCGAGTGCACCTAGCTTGTCTTTCCGCCCTCCTCCTCCTCCTCCTCCTTCTCCCCCTCCCATCTGGGGGGCCTACGTGGGAGTCACTACTCGCTTTGAAGGCTCCGACTTCAGCAGCACTGGCGGTGGAGGCACCAAGAGCAGAGCCCGGCACACTCCTCGCCCTCTCGGCTTCGTCAGCGTGGGCCGTCCATCGGCCGCGAGGCTCCAAACTTCGGAATCCTCTGATGACTACAGTCGGGGCCCTGAAGAAGGAACGCTTTTCGTTTGGGAGGGGCTCGGTGTTCCTTGATCGGTTTACAGTTTGCCTCGGGTTTCCCTTAGGTTTTTGGATGGGAAATCGAAGTTTAACTTAAAGAAAAAAAAGGGGCCTCATTCCTTATTTAAGGTTCCTTAGGCCAACGCCCCGACGGTACCTCCTCCTCCAGCTGGCACGAGGGCAGGAGCGCCCCTGATCTCGGGATGCGGTGTCCCTGAGGACCCTTCGTGGTTGGACCGGGCTCTCCACCCTGGAGGAGCGTTTTTGACTCGCTCGGGGTACCTCCTTGAGGCATTGGGCCTTCTGCGAGGGCGTCACGTTGTCGTGGTCCACGTTCTCGTGGTCACGTCACGTTCTCACAGTCTTGGCCCGCGTTCTCGTGGTCACGTTTCGACTGTGCCTCCCTCCTCCCTCTTCCCTCCCCCATTCCTCTCCCTCCTGCCTTTACACCCCTCCTCCCTTCCAGGAGAAGCGACCTATCTGTCGCGATGCCTTGGTCTGGACACATTGGGCCTTCCATTGAACATGGTCGGTGAAATAGATGAGCGGGAAGTAAGTCGAGCTTGTGCCCAGTGACCAGCCAATACGTTTGTGGCTGGCAAGGGTAAATATGTTCGGCCGGGAGGGGCAATTCATCGCCTGGCCAGGCACGTGTTCTTGACGTATCCAGCGTGCGGGGAGGGGAGGAGGAGGAGGAGGAACAGGAGGAGGCGTAAGGGGGGGATGAGGACCAGTTCTGGCCGCCACCTGAGTCCAAGACGGGTCATGTACGTTATGCAAGCTGGACGCTGAAATAATTCGGATGGGCTTGTGGGACCATTGCTCTACATGAGTTGCAAGCAGTGGGCGTTGAAGTCTGTTGACCTGCCTCCCCCGCCAGGGTACCAGGCTTGGCGCACTTCTGCGAGCACATGGTGCGCAGCTTGCCGTTATTTATTGTTCATCTTGGCATGCTGAAGCTCTGTTGACATGTAGGAGTGCACTTGTCGAAGGAACGGATTGAATTATGATAGAAACGAGCTCTCAGCTGTGTACCTGCAAGCTCGCTGACTGGCGAGACTGCCGCGCCTCTTCCACCCCAGACATGACAATGCCAGAAGCATACTGCTCGACGGCGGACCAAAACAGTTCCAGCCAACGTATTTCAGGGGTGCTGCCATTTCTACCTCGGCCTGCCCTTGGAGCCAGAATGACCCCCGCGCTCTAGAACATAGCTCACCATGCCTCGACCCACACTCGCCGCTGCAGAGCCCCCCCATCACGGGACGTGAAAACGACCACAGCCACTGCTTTATTTTTGTTGCCGCCTTCCAGCCAGCACAAAGCAGTGGTTGTGGTCATTTTCGTTAAGCTTGGCACCAGGGAAATGACCACAACCACTGCTTCTCTTCCGGCCGGCTGGAAGGCGGCGCAAGCAAGAAGCAGTGGCTGTGGTCATCTTCCAGTCCCGCACTCCCCCATTCACCCTCCCGTACAGTCGGGGCCCTGCAGAAGGAACCTTTTCGTTGGGGAGGGGCTCCGCGTCCCTTAGGTGTTTCACGGCTTGCCTCAGGTGTTCCTCATGTTTTCGGTGGGAAATCGAAGGTTCACTTGTGGAGAAAAGGGGCCTCGTTCCTCATTTGGGGATCCTTGGGTCGAGGCCCCGACTGTAGCCCTGTTGGCTCTGGCCTTGCCACCCGGCGAGGGCCGAGGCAGCCGCCCGGCGCGGCTCTCCGCAGCCCCGCGGGGGCGCGCCCGCGCCGCGCCGGCGCGCCGGGGCCATGCGCCGCTCCGCGGGCGCCGCGCCAGCCCCAGCGGCCGGCGCCGCCCCGCGCCCGTGGTGGCTGCCCGCGCTGCTGCTGTGCTCCGTGGGGCGCGCGGCCCCCTTCTGCGAGGATCGAAGATGGCACACGTCAGTATCGTTTAACCAATCCCCATCCCCATCCCCATCCCCTTCGAGACCCCCGCCAAATTACCCCCCTAGTTGGGGCTGTACCCCTGGAATCCCGACGGATGCGGCCTATATCCCCATCCAGGGGGGTAAATCGGCCAGTGGGGCCCAGGCTACGCCACTGGGGATGGGGATCGGTCAAACGATACTCAGACCCCGCCTCTGGCGTCCAGTGTCGAACGCCGCCTGCGGCCCAGTCGGGGGTGGACAGACCTCCTACCCTGACACGTCGATTGGTCCGTTTTCGCTTTGCGAGAGGGCGTCGGGGCCGTCATTTTTGCGGGTCCAGGTCCGTCGGTTTCGGCCCCAGGCCGTGTTCACTGAGGGGAGGTTTACTAAAGGGAGGTTTGTCCACCGCCGAGAGGAGGGCAACTGCCGCCGGGGCACCTTCGATTACGTGGCGCAGCGCTTCTACCAGAGCCGCGTCGGCACGCCAGACTCGCAGCTCGACGGCTGAGGGTGGGCCGAAGAGTAGCAGAAGCATAAGAACTCGGAGGACCGCGCGGATTTCTCGGATCCGCGCTGGACCCCACTGGCGGCGCCGGCGGCGCCGCCCCTGGCGCGCTCCGCGCGCCAGGGAGGGGGGGTCCAGCGCCGATCCAAGAAATCTGCGCGGACTTCCGAGTTTTTATGTTCATGCCACTTTTTGTTCCCTAGGCTTACACCTCACGGTGACTAGCGAACACATGTTCACAGCGTACCTCGACGAATCGGCACCGCGCCAGACAGGAGCGCACATTGTCGGAGATGCAGGAGTCGTGCTTGGCGACTCCGTGTATTTCGCCACCTTCGACTTCGACGGGTCGCTCCAGAAATACAGCTCTTCTTTGAGTTTTCAGGAGGAGCTGCACCTTGGCGGGTACGGCGGCCAATACTTCTCCGCCGTAGCAAGCCTGGGCTCCAGCCACCTCGTCCTCGGAACTGGCGGGACCCCCGGGCGTATCCTCACGGTGGAGACGGACCCGGCGATGCAGTACGTATCGGCGTTTGCGTGTCCTGCGGATGTCGGCGGGGTGTTGGGCCTGGCCACGGACGGAACTGCAGTGCTTGTCCTGGTCGGCAGCCCCCCGGCACGGGTGCTGCTGCTCCAGGCCTCTCCGGACGGCAATCTCACCCTCGAAGACACGCTGACAATTTCAGACGACGACGAGATTTCAGCCCCTGTGTCGCCGAATTTCCTTGATACGCAAAATGACATTGCCTATGTAGCCACGCGCAAAGGATGCTTCTTCCGAATCAAGTATGCATCGTGGGAGTTGGAGCTCGACAGTTGGGGGTCGAGTTGCTCCACCCAGGTCTCTGGGCTGTTTGGACTTGCCGCTGACAGCGGGACGCAGAAGGCCGTTGTCATTTCCGTCTCCCCCTACCGGCAGCTTGCTGTGTTGAGCCTCTCGTCCGGCCTAGTCGAGCAGACCTTGCCACTGTCAAAAGATCTGGCGTACGTCACTAATTTATTCATCACCAGTCCCGCGTCTGGAAGCGTCGCACAAGCCATCATTGTCGGGCAGTCCCGCCGTAGCATCCCAGCCATTATGCAGGTCAATCTGGGTAGTGGTGACTTGGGCTCCAGCTGGGGCCTAATCGCTGGTGGCATCTGCGATGAGTACTCGTGGACAGAGGACAAGCGAATTGTGTGGGTTGAGGGCACAGAGCACAGGAGGTACCCAGCGCGGTACTATGGCTGCATATGGGTACCCCTGGGTCGCCAAGCCACGGGCGCGGCAATCTCCAACGAAAAGCTGTACTTGGCCACTGAGCGCACCCGGTGCACCGTGTGCACCACCGACGAGCCTGTCTTCGGCAGCGACGAGGGCTTCTGCGTGGAGGAGCACGAGGAATACAGGGCCCCCGCGGCAAAGTGCGGCCAGGAGGCGCACAACACCCGGCCGCTCATCTGGGAGCGGGCCCTCTCGTACGACCAGCTGCAGCACCTCACCAACCAGCTGTATGGAGCGGTGAACACGTCCATCATGAGTTTCCAGATCGGCGAAATACCGAAGATCGGTGGCATGTACGCACCCAAAATCGCGAGCGGAGCGCCTCCTAGCGGGCCCGCGCCCTGGCTGACCGTGGTCGCGCTCGTCGTCATCCTGGCGCTGCTGCCTGGCGTCGAGGCGACCACAACCAAGAGCTTCCACCAGTCGGAGGAGGGCTGCAACTGCCTGCGGAACTGCGAGATCTTCGACATGGGGGACTGCAGCGACGACACCGAGACGAACCGGAGGGCCTTCGAGGAGGCCTGGGCCAAGCTGCCCGACGGCAGCGACAACCTGTGCAAGGCGCTGCAGGCCATGGCCTTCTGCAGCGTGCGCCAGGCGGAGCTCGACGTCGGCCACGAGGAGGTGGTCCTGTGCCAGGGCATCGCCAAGCAGATCGGGTGCGAGGTCGACTGCGGGGGGGCGGCGCGGCGGGGCCGCAGGTGGATCCTGCCCAGCGCCGTCCTCGTGGCAGTCGCAGCCGCTGCGCTTGCCTGAGCGGAGCGCCTCCGCTCCGTCCCCCGCCCCCACCCCAGACGCCCCTCCCCCTCCTCCCCCTCCTCCTCCTCCTCCTTCTCCTCTCCTCCTCCTCATTCCCCTCCTCTCTCCTCCTCCTCCTCCTCCTCCTCCTCTCCTCCTCCTCCTCCTCCTCCTCCTCCTCCTCCTCCTCTTCCTCCTCCTCCTCCTCCTCCTCCTCCTCCTCATCCTCTCACCTCCTCATCTCCTCCTCCTCCTCATTCTCCCCTCTCTCTCCTCCTCCTCCTCCTCCTCCTCCTCCTCCTCCCTCCTCCTCGTCCTCCTCCTCCTCCTCCTCCTCCTCCTCCTTTTTCTCAGGCGATCGCAAACATGGATCAAGGGGGCGTGGATTAGCGACGGGTCCCGTTTCCACGGGAAATCGCAGATTTTCGCCGCCGAGCGAGGCGGCACCGGGGCTGCATCTTGGCGAGGGCACCTCCCCCGATCCATGGGCTTGGCGACCGCGCGCCAAATCCATGGATCGCTGATCCATGTCTGCGCGCCCCCGACAAGCACCCCTCGATCTTGCCCTCCACCCTGCTCATCATCGGCAGACCGATCAGGCCAGCCACAACTGGGGGAGCTGTGGTCCTTCCCCCCCTGGGGGACCCATCGACTTCGACACCCCTCTCGAGAGATCCGTCGATGCGATGGGTTCCCCCAGGGGGGTAAGGACCACAGCTCCCCCAGTTGTGGCTGGTCGGCCAGTCCCCATCCCCACAGGGTAAGCCTCTTCCCCACGGGCCGCCACGGGCGCGGCGTCGGCCACCAGCGCTTTTTTCCGAACCTGCCAGGCTCGTGGACGCGGGAGCCGCAAGTCGGGCACGCCCCTCTACAGGAGGCGCGTCCCTCCACAGGAGGAACCTTCAAACACAGTCGACCAATTCGTCTGGGGACGGCTTTTGTGGACTATGTCTCGGCTCTTTTGGGGGTGTTGTTCGAGCATGTTTTGCTTTTTGGTCTCCGAAGTCCGCCTGCAGGAGGACGTGCCCGACCCAGCCGTGGCCTCGCGGGCCTCGAGGCTGGGCCCTGCGGCTCGCCAGAGCGCGAACCTCGCGGGGAGGCCTCCGAGCGGGCGCGGGCCCGCAAGGGGCCTCTCTTCGCGCCAGGCTGTCGCATTTGACCCGGGGGGCCGCGGGCTCGTGGCGAGCCAGCGTCGGTCCGTCGTGGGGCGGCAGCGAGGGGGGTGATGACTAGGGGGGGGTGGATCTCATGGCGTGGGCCATGATATTTCCCCAGAGTTCACGGCGCCTCTTCTTCTTTTACGTCCCTGGTCCCCCCCTGGGCCGCGCACATGCCGCCGGCCATGGTTTGCGCCCCCCCCCCCCCCCCCCCCTCTTGGACGTCCCCCTCTTGGCCGCCCCCGAGTCCGGAGGGGTGCGGAGGGAAGGGCGAAGGAGGGAGGAGGAGGAGGAGGAGGAGGAGGAGGAGGAGGAGGAGGAGGAGGAGGAGGAGGAGGAGGAGGAGGAGGAGGGAGGAGGAGGAGGAGGAGGAGGAGGAGTAAGTCGGGCCTGAGGAGGAACACTCAAACATAGTGTTAAAAAATAGTATGGGGACGATGTTCTGAATTGCTGTTGTTTGCCTTTTGGGGGGGAGCATTTCTGGATTATGGATGATCTGTCGTCTCAAAGCCGCCTGTAGGAGGACACGCCCGACTTGAGAGGAGGAGCGCCCTCAGGCCCGCGGGCTCCTGCGCCGGGCAGTGCCAGCTGCAGCGTGTGTTGAGCAGCCGGTTCGGCTCGCGCCGCCTCTTTACAGAGCTCAGTGTCGCCAGCGGCTGCTCAGCTGGCGGGGGCCTCCTCCTCCTCCTCCTCCTCCTCCTCCTCCTCCTCCTCCTCCTCCTCCTCCTCCTCCTCCTCCTCCTCCTCCTCCCCCTCCTCCCTTGGTCTGGCGCACCTACCTACCCTCCCGCCGCGCCCTGGCGCCGCTTATGCGCCGACGGGGAAGCGCGGGCGCGCGCGGGGGGCGGGGGCGCACAGTCGCATGCAGTTGGGACGCGCATCCAGAAGCCATACGCTCATCGTCAGTGCATCCCGGTTCTCTGTTCGCTCCGCGCGCTGCGCGGCGACTTTTCCCGCAGCCGCTGCAGAAGCTGCTGCATCCGGGGCGCTCTGGGTTCCCGCCGCTTGCATCTCGCGCCTGCGGGTTTCAGGGCTGGGTTTCTTGCGAGGGTTTCTTGCGGCCGCGCCCGCACTGCATTATCAAGCCAGCTATTACTTAGATTTGATTGCCCATATGTTGACCCTCAGAACTTAGCACAGCCGGGGAGGAACCAATTGTAGCCAGAGTGCAGTATCCCCAAACTGGGTTTTTACACCCACTGCGGTTTCCAAGGTCGATTGCGTGCCCGTCCAGTGCGGGCTGGCATGGCATGTTAGAACATGCCTCCTCCTCCTCCTCCTCCTCCTCCTCCTCCTCCACCTCCTCTTCATCCCGAACGGCATCTCGGAGCCCAGAGTTGCGAGGATGTCTCCAGCGTGACGGGCTGGACCACCTCGCGCGCGGCATCTAGAACCCCAGAGTTGCGACGATGTCTCGGGCGAAACGTGCTGCGAGGAAGTCTTAGGCGAAACAGGCCCGACCACCTCGAGCGCGGCGTTTCAGAGCTCCGAGTTGCAGGGGCCTCCTGGGGCCTCCTGGGGCCTCCTAGGGACAGCACGGGCGCCAGCACGGAGGCTGGAAGAAGAAGTGAGCTACTTCTTTTCGCGACGTAAGCCCGTCCAGCTCGGCCTCAGACTCTGCCCATTTTGATGGCGGTTCTGGCGCATTTGAAGAATGCGCCCAGGGCGACCGCAATATGATCGGGAGCGACTTTCTCTGGGAATATCCCGCGAATCCAGGCGTAGCTGGAGTGAGGGATTGTGTGCGTAGTTTTCTGCAGAGTTCTGTGCTCTGCGGCTTGGGTCCGCTTGATCATTTCGAGTTGGCTCTGGGGGTGCCGTCGTGTGAAGCACCCTGGCAGTTCCTGACTCGGTGTCCTCTCATCCTGTGGCCTCCTGAACCTCACCTGGGGCTTCCTGAAGCTTCTTGGGGCTCCCAGAGGGGATATCTAACATGTGGCCGTCGGGGCTCCCCAAAATGGGGGGGGGGGGCACAAGAGCAGGAAAAATCAACGAATCGACACCGGATGCGTATTAACTTGACACGTTCTGATAAGGAGCCTCCTGGGGCCTCCTGGGAGCCTCCTGAGAATCTCCTGGGGACCCCTGTGGCCTGTCCTGGGCGTCCTGCGGCCTCCTGAAGCTCTCTGGGGCCTCCTGGGGCTCCCAGGGTCCCAGAGGGAGAATCTAACATGTGGTCTTCTGGGCCCCCAGGCTGGACCACCTCTTGCGCGGCATCTGGAAGCTCAGAGTTGCGAGAATGTCTTGTGCGAAACGGGCCGGACCACCTTGCGCACGGCATCTCAGAGCTCAGTTGCGAGGATGTCTCAGGCGAAACGGGCTGGACCACCTCGCAAGTGGAATCTCGGAGCCCAGAGTTGCGAGGATGTCTCAGGCGAAACGGGTCAGACCACCTCTTTCGCTGCACCTCGGGGCCCAGAGTTGCGGGGATGTCTCAGGCGAAAAGGGCCGGACCACCTCGCAAGCGGCATCTCGGAGCCCAGAGTTGCGAGGATGTCTCAGGCGAAACGGGCCGGACCACCTCTCACACGGCACCTCGGGGCTCAGAGTTTCGAGGATGTCAGAGTTGCGACGACGTCTCGGGCGAAGCGTGCTGCGAGTAAGTCTCAGGCGAAACGGGCCGGACCACCTCGAGCGCGGCGTCTCAAAGCTCCAGGTTGCGGGGGCCTCCTGGGGCCTGGGCCTGCTGGGGACCTCCTGGGGCTTCCTCCTGGGCCTCCTGTGGCCTCCTGGACCTCACCTGCGGCTTCCTGAAGCCTCTTGGGGCTCCCAGGGGGGGATATCTAACATGTGGCCGTCGGGGCTCCCCAAAATGGGGGGGGGGGGGGGGCGCAAGTGCAGGAAAGATCAACGAATCGACACCGGATGCGTATTAACTTGACACGTTCTGATAAGGAGTCTCCTGGGGCCTCCTGGGAGCCTCCTGAGAATCTCCTGGGGACCCCTGTGGCCTGTCCTGGGCGTCCTGCGGCCTCCTGAAGCTCTCTGGGGCCTCCTGGGGCTCCCAGGGTCCCAGAGGGGGATATCTAACATGTGGTCTTCTGGGCCCCCATGCTGGACCACCTCTTGCGCGGCATCTGGAAGCTCAGAGTTGCGAGAATGTCTTGTGCGAAACGGGCCAGGCCAACTTGCGCACGGCATCTCAGAGCTCAGAGTTGCGAGGATGTCTCAGGCGAAACGGGCCGGACCACCTCGCAAGCGGAAGCTCGGAGCCCAGAGTTGCGAGGATGTCTCAGGCGAAACAGGCCGGACCACCTCTTGCGCTGCACCTCGGAGCCCAGAGTTGCGAGGATGTCTCAGGCGAAACGGGCCGGACCACCTCGCAAGCGGCATCTCGGAGCTTAGAGTTGCGAGGATGTCTCAGGCGAAACGGGCCGGACCACCTCTCGCACGGCACCTCGGGGCTCAGAGTTTCGAGGATGTCTCAAGCGAAACGGGCCAGACCACCTCTCGCGCGGCGTCCCGGAGCGCAATTTGTTTGAGGATGTCTCAGGCGAAACGGCCAATCCCGGCCAACTGAGAAACGAGAGTTGTGAGGATGTCACAAGCGAAACGGCCCGGACCATCAGATTTTTGCGAGGATGTTTCTGCTCCCCTTTCCCTCGGCCGGAGTTAGCTTTTATCACGACAGCACCCCGTTCAGTAAGCTGTTTGGGGAAAAAAGAAGCAACTCCTCATGCATCTCTTCCATCTCATCTCTTGCTTCCGTCCCAGCCTGGGTCCAGGCCCCGAAATGTGGTCACGTTCGCAGGACACCGCGTTTTGCGGGCCGGCCGAGCAGCTGTGAGGTTATCTCTCTGTGGTGAGTATCATACTTAACTGCCTCACATTTTTCTTGCTCCCCCTCCAAAGTCGCGCCCG